CAAAACAAATTGATCCTTAAAGACTTTATTTCAAAGTCAAAGCTCTTGCTATTTTAATGCACCCACATGGTCCATCCAAGTGAGCACATGACATATCCTACACATCTTTCCCACGTTAGAGACTGAAAGACAGAGCAGGAGGCAGGAAAGAGCAGGACACCAATGCGACAAAATGCTAAAGCCAAGCTATAAATTATCTTTTTGCCATTCTCTGCTGCATTTTGAAAAAGCTAACACAACAGCAGAGCCTATCCTTCCTTTGGAAAGATACGAGCATCATACAAAAGTATCCTTCTAACTCACTAGCAACAGTGCTGCCCTCCCATCTTTCACACAACTTGCCCAGCAAGAGAAGCACTGCTGGGTTCTAAAGACAATGACTGAAAGCTCTGTATTCTGATGATGGGAGGGAGCAGTGAAGACCAGCTTCCTGGGCTCTAAACTATGCCAGACTGCCGTGCTAATCCTCCCTAAATCCCACGACACAACGTTTCGGTGGGGGTGGGGAACAGGATAGAAAACAATCCAAAACTGAATCAAGAACAGTAGCTCTGGGTTACGGAGGTCGTAACATTCCTATTTGAATGAGGGTAGGAGATAATGGAGTGGGGCAAAGACATAGACAAAAGCCTTTAAAACATATCTTTAAAAATACAAAAGAAAAATGAATTTTATCCCTGATCCTTCTGATGTGCTAACCAACATCTGCCTCCAATCATTTGCCAGCCCTGGCTGCATAGAAGGCACAGAGTAGCAGACATTTTCACACAGTAAAGCTGGAAGAGATGCTACTAGAGTGTAAATCACTAATTAGCTCAATAAAAGACAAAGAGAGAAAATACCTGTCACAGAATGCTGTTTACAACTTGACATATAATAAAAAACCCTGAAAATTTCAGGAGAATGCCTTACTTTCCAGACTTCTATTAACATGTGAATGGAAAAGGGATAGTATTATAGTCTTTAAAAATAGCCCATGTCTCCAAAACAATAACACATGACTAGAAAGAATGCTTTCCAAACAATCTGTAATTTTTTCATCCTTATGAAAGGGGAGTGTTTTTAATTATTACAATCAGCTTTTTTTTTTTTTTTTTTTTTTGAGATGGAGTGTCACTCTGTCGTCCAGGCTGGAATGGAGTGGCACAATCTTAGCTCACTGCAACCTCCGCCTCCCAGGTTCAAGCAAATCATGTTCCTCAACCACCCAAGTAGCTGGGATTACGGCATGCACCACCATGCCCAGCTAATTTTTGTATTTTTAGTAGAGACAGGATTTCACCATGTTGGCCAGCCTGGTCTTGAACTTCTGGCCTCAAGTGATCCAACTGCCTTGGCCTCCCAAAGTGCTGGGATAACAGGTGTGAGCCACCGTGCCTGGCCTATAATCAGCTTTAACAAGGAGTTATATTTCATAGCTTTGATAATTGCTTAAAGGGGGGGGGTAAGGAAAAGAAGCCCGCAAGTGCCGTTTTTTTGTTTGTTTGTTTTGTTTTGAGACAGAGTTTCACTCTTGTTGCCCAGGCTGGAGTACAATGGCACAATCTCGGCTCACTGCAACCTCCGCCTGCCTGGTTCAAGCAATTCTCTGGCCTCAGCCTCCCGAGTAGCTGGAATTACAGGCAACCGCCACCACGCCCGTCTAATTTTGTATTTTTAGTAGAGACGGGGTTTCTCCATGCTGGTCAGGCTGGTCTCAAACTCACAAACTCAGGTGATCCACCTGCCTGCTTCAGCCTCCCAAAGTGCTGGGATTACAGGTGTGAGCCACCGCGCCCAGCCACAAGTGCCGTATTTTGCATTTGTCAGAATACAGTTAATATTCCTTCCACTTAAACTGAGAGGATCTCCTTCAGGTCACAAGTTTATCGAATAGACAGGCCATCATTTTAATGAAGATTAAATGACGGGAAAGGAGTCAGTTAAATTTCCTTATGTGACAACAACAGAAAAGACTCCCAAAATTTAAGTTTATTTTGGGGGGAAGGTAATAAAATATTAAGATACTTCCATTCATCCCCTCATCATATGGTAAACCTATTTGTATTAATCCCAAGCAATGTTCTTTTTTTTTTTTTTTTTTTTTTTGAGACAGAGTCTCGCTCTGTTGACCAGGCTGGAGTGCAGTGGCTTGATCTCAGCTCACTGCAACCTCTGTCTCCCAGGTTCAAGCAATTCTCCTGCCTCAGTCTCCCGAGTAGCTGGAATTACAGGCACGGGCCACCACGTCTGGCTAATTTTTGTATTTTTAGTAAAGGTGGGGTTTTACCATGTTGGCCAGGCTGTTCTCAAACTCCTGGCCCCAAGGGATCCACCTGCCTCAGCCTCCCAAAGTGCTAGGATTACAGGTGTGAGCCACCGCACCCAGCCAACCAATATTCTTAAAGCAATACATTTTTCACTTTGATCTTTTCCAGCTCCTTGAAGCTACATGAGAGTCTTTAAAATATGTATTTCATCTAAATATTTCTTGGTTGTGGTGTTGAAAGGCCCCATGGCTCCTGTTTCTCACACAATAATCACCCATACCTCCATAGCTAGCATGTCCTGAGGATACATCCGTGCATGAGCACACCATGTCACATGCTAAGGAGGTTCTCTTTTTTTTTTTTTTTTTTTTTTTTTGTATTTTTTAGTAGAGACGGGGTTTCACCGTGTTCGCCAGGATGGTCTCGATCTCCTGACCTCGTGATCCGCCCGTCTCGGCCTCCCAAAGTGCTGGGATTACAGGCTTGAGCCACCGCGCCCGGCCTCTAAGGAGGTTCTCAACAGACGGGTACACTATGATAAGAGTTTCTCCTAATGGGAGAGACCTGAAAACCCATCATTCACAAGTAAAAGAATCTCAGAATGTACTGGAGACAAGACCATAAAAACACAAAGTCCATTCTAAACCCAATCTTGAGATTCCTTTGCTTCAAGTATTTGACTGAAATCAAATACAAACTAAACTTTCTGAAATACTCAAAACATTCTCCCCTTTTCTTCTTTAAAATTAAGGTCTTCATATGCATCTTCTTCAATCTGACTTGTTTAAAAATACTCAAGTGAGAGAAAATGATAAAGCAAATGGGGCAAAATGAAAAAAAAATTGGTAAAACTGAGTAAGGGTACACAGAATTTCTTGTATCATTTTTGCAACTTTTCCATACATTAAAAAAATTGTAATAAAATCAACAGCCACCAAAAAATAGAGTATTAACAACAGAAGTTCTCTCATAGGGCTGTTTCAAGTTTCAAACAATTCACATACTCAGTTAATGCTGGACACCTAGTAAACACTCAGTAATTGTTAATTATTTTTTTAAATGAGTGGATCAGTTGGGCACGTTGGCTCACGTCTGTAATCCTAACACTTTGGGAGATCACTTGAGGTCACGAGTTCGAGGTCAGAAGTTTGAGAGCAGCCTGGCCAACAAGGTGAAACTCCGTCTCTACTAAAAATATAAAAACTTGTCTGGGTGTGGTGGTGGGTACCTGTAATCCCATCTACTAGGGAGGCTGTGGCAGAAGAATCACTTGAACCTGGGAGGCGGAAGTTGTAGTGAGCCAAGATGGCGCCACTGCACTCCAGCCTAAGCTACAGAGCAGTACTCCATCTCAAAAAAAAATAAGACTGGATCAATTTACTTAACCAGTTAAAGTATAGGGGAGCCAGGCACAGTGGCTCACACCTGTAATACCAGCACTTCGGGAGGTTAAGGTGGGCGGATCGCTTGACCCCAGGAGTTCAAGACAAGCCTGGGCAACATGGTAAAACCTTGTCTCTACAAAAAATACAAAAATTAGCCAGGTGTGATGGCGCATATCTGTAGTCCCAAAGAGGTACAGGCTGCAGTGAGCTGACATGGCGCCACTGCATTCGCCTGGGCGAAAGAGTGAGATTCTGTCTCAAAAATAATAACAATAATAATGTATGGGGGAATTGGTATATCACTTAGGCACACATAAAGAGAAAATAGTAAAAAATTAGTGAGGGTATAAACAGGTTTTGCTTATGGATATTTGCACTGAAATCTGAAGTCAGAAAAAAATTCATTTTTCTTCAAATAACAATAATCTTTCAACTGTAAACATGTCATAGTATACAACAAGTCCAGGGCAGTTTTCTGGATGCATAATCTGCAATGCAATAAGGCATTTTTTATTGGTGTGGGGTTGTTTTGTAAATACAATTTTGGAATGGAAAAATAGAAGCATGCAAGAACCTCGATGTAATCTTTACATTATACATAATCGTTATGGTGTTTACCCCAGGTTCCCCATCTAGAAAGGAACTGATAAAAGGTTAGTAACAGGACTACAGGAATAATTTTTAAAGACTGGCAAACAAGACTTGTTAAGTGTTGAATCTGAAGAAGAGCATGGTGAGGGAGAACTTCACAACAGGCAAACCAGAGGTAAAACCAAAGCACAGACTCTGCTGGCAAAATGCAAAGGCTGGAATCCCATCCCACCACTTAGAACTCTAACTTTTGAACTAAAATAAAGCTTAAATGTATCACTGGGTTACTATTTAACAAAACATAGTATTATTTGTAGTATAAGATAATTAACTACCAAATAAATAGTTGCAGGAATGTCTGAGTATAACCTTGGACGAACCATTTAATCTCAAGGACACTCTATTTCATCACCTGTAAAATGAGAATAGTAATAGTACCTACCTCATAGGATTGCCATTGAGGAGTATACAAGTTACAATTTGCAGTGCTTACAGAAGAATTTGGCACAAAAGCATTATATGTGTGCTGGTTACTATTATTAAGTTTATGAAGAACTAAGGTCTTATAAATACAAAAGTACACAGATTTTTTTACTCAAAAATTGAGAATGGGGCAAGAGGAAACAAACAAATATATAGCATTAAGCATGTGCTGGTTAGAGAGAAGGCAGACTCTCCTGATAGATAAATTATTAAATGCTTGCAAAGATTATCTGGAGGTTACCACATTACTGCTGAAAATTTGTTTTAAAAAATAGGATAAATTTTTATCTACCTGAAATTATTTAAGTGGGATATTGACTGGAGTTGCTGGATAAACTAGAGGTCCTTTCAAGGTCTCTTCCCATCCAAAGAATCTACAATTAACCAGGAAAACATTTAATTATGTACAACCTAATAAATCTAAAAATATAAATTTAAAAGCTTTTGCTTAGCAAATAAGATTATAACCAAAATAAAGTTAAATCGGGTAGAACTGTACTTGACGAACAAATGAAAATAAAGCTTAAATTTATCATTGGAGTCCTTATTGATAAACAGCATTATCTCAATTTTTAAAAATCCATTTTCAGTTTTAGAAATAGCGACTGAGAAATAATCATTGACAATGAGGCTCTGGTTTAGCACACTAAGGCCGTTGCATACAGAAACAAAAGGCAGGACTCACTCTTTCCCTTGGCTGATCTTACAGTTTATATTTTCTTCTTTACCAATATCAAATAAGTCTATAATCGTTTATATAAAGATATTGAGCATAAAACAATTACAATTACATTATAAACATGGCAATACCATACAGAGTACATCCTACTACTAATGCCAGCCCAAACACATCTATAAAGAGAATATGCACACACATCTCACTGAAACAAGTGCCTCATATTAAAGTTACTCTTCATCTTGAAAGTCAACGTATCAAACTAATCCTTTTAAAATGTAGTGGCAAAAATAGTAATTTTTACCAAAATCCTCTGTTAAATTGCTAAATACATCTAGTCACCTTGAACACTTGCTTAATGCAATCCAGGAAACAAATCATAAACTAAATACTATGCCACTAACACAGTAGCTGAATGTAGAAAGTTTTCTAAATTATTCATATACATTAATAACCATTGTTGCTCAAATCCACAAATCAAAATATAATCTTTGTTAACTATTATGAATGTCATAAACCTAATCTTTGCTCTTTATACAAACACCAGCAAAAGAGTGTCAATCCAAAATTTATACAACTTTGAAAAAAAAAAAGTCTCTTTGTGCATCTGAGTGTACATAATGAAATAACCCAACAAGATTCTCAACAACTGTTTGCATTTTTCCCTAAGTAAATTATATACTATCCTTTGGCACCATCAAATGCAAAACAAATATTCATTCATATTCTTAGCTAAATGTAAAAGCTTCTGAATAAAATCATTAAAACAAAATTCTAAGTAAGAATAATTCAAATTTTGCCCCAAATTTCTTATCTTCCTTTTCATTTCTAAAGGTGTCTTAAAAATCAAAAGCTTCTAGAAAATTAGTATTAATCTGGCCTTCTTTATTCACAATCATAAAACACGAAAGGCAGTGGAGCTGTCCAAAGACCCAGCGTGCAATATTATCTTGTAGAGATGTTTTTCTATCAAAATTACTCATAAATTTATTTACCCTAAAAAATAAGTCTGCCACTCTAAAATCCTCCACTACTCTACAATTCTCCCTTCCTTTATTCCATTTTGTTAAATGGGTGGGTTACCAACTACAGCATGAAACGTCCCACACAAAGCTAAAGGCAGCTCAGGAACTCAAAGCCCTCAGCTCTGATTTAAATCTCTCCCCCAGTAAACTTCCTTGGTTGGTTATTTGCCTTTCTCTGAAATGACTTCTTAACATTCTCCAGCCACTGAAAACGATAAGCAGAAACCTGGTTGATTAATCATCTTCCTCTATCCCAACAACAGTGTGTTCTCCATGGAAAATGAAAATGCTGTCCATAAAACACAGCCCAGCACTTGTCAGGTACAGCACCCCTACAACACCAGAACTATCACATCACTCGAGTACGCTCTAAATAAGCACACCCTTTCCCCGCATTATCACAACACTAGTGAAATGCAGAGGTTTTCAACACCCAGAGTTTACGCTTTATCACCCATACAAGAAAAAAATCAAATCAAAATGAGTCTCATTTCTTCAAAGTGGACAGGAAACTCAAATCAAAAGCAATGAAGGGTGGAAGCGGATTCAAGGTTCCTTGAAGAGAGAAAGAGGTTTCTGGAATTTCCTACTTTTAGGGACAAAAGGATTCACAATTTCAACACACAGTTCTCTCCTCAACAAAGAATTCCTTTCCTGCACCCCCCACCTCTGCCCTTACTTTTTAGTCTTTACCCCTGTCTCTAGGTCCCCTTTCACTCACCATGGTTCCTTCTCTTCTGCACCAAAGGCTCTCTTACACTTGATCTTTCACTATAGCATTTCTGCCCTGACCCTTGCAGACCTTCTGGAGCAACTCCCCACAACACGCACATTTGATTCCCACCCCCGTGCAGTCTACCCCAGTTCTACATTCATCAGGACTCCCCGAGCTTCCCTTAGCCCCCTTCTCTTCCCTTACTCCCCATCTCATCCTTTAAATCCTGGGGCCCATCTCTTCCTGCTCCTCTCACCATTTGTTTTTAGCCTTGTCTCTTCACCTCACTGTTTTCACCTTGAATCTTGCTGAACCTCTACAATTAACGTAATTCCCCAGTTATCCTGGTCCCAGATGGCCATCACTTCTTACACCCTAACTCTAGTCTCCTTTCAGCTTTTCTGCTCCCAGAATTGTCCTACAGACACCCATCTCTTATCTGTTTCCCTTCGCCCTTCTACCACACTCTTATTCTGGACTCCACCTGGTTCCAATCCAGGTCTCATTTGCCCCCCCTCACTTTACAGAATTTACATCCATCGCCCACCCACTAACCCATTCCTTTCTCAGAATCTCGCCAGCAGTTCCCACCACACCGCTGGTCCTAGTCCTTCAGCTCATCTCGCTCCGCACTAGTTCACACCCTTGTCACGTCTGGCTCTTAATCACTCTCTCTTTCCTACTCCCAACTATTACCCCAGCTCTGCCCCTCCTTGTCTTCCACTTCCAACACTTACCCTGGTACCCCTCACCCCAACACCACCCCCTACGAAGCTTTCCCCTTCAAACCCCTGCTCTTACACCTAGCCCCACGATCCCTTTTCCCAGCCCTAACCTCATTCCCTGCCCGGCTTCCTTAACGCCCACCACCCTGGCTTTTGCCTCCTTCCTACCTCCTTGGCTGGCTTTTTCTCACTCCTCCTCTCCCTGGCTTCTAACCCTTTCTCCCCTTAATCCTCCTCATCTCATTCTCAACCCGGTTCCCCCCATCGCCCCCAAGCCTTCCTTTCCCTCTCCCTTCAAGGCTTTTGCCCCAACCCAGCCGTCGCCCACCCCGCCAAAATAAGACGCCGGAGCGCCCCGACTCCCGGCTCTCGCTTCCCGCCGCCCCCGCCCTGGGCGCCCCCAGCCCGCCGGCGCCGCGGTCCCGCCCCCTACCGCAGCTCCTCCCGCCCGCAAGGCGCGCGCTGCCTTTGTCGCCCCTCACCCGGTGTGTGAGGATTTTGCTTCTTTAAAGGGGAGGGCTAGTGAGCCGGAGACTCCTATCCCCGCCTCCGAGTCTTAGAATGGGCTCCCAGGCCGTCGCGGCCTCCTCAGCCCCCGTCCCCCCTACCCCCTGGAGCTACCCACTTTGCCGCCTCCCCACCGCCTCCGTCCCCTCCCCCGGCCCCCTCTATTTACCGCCATCATCAGCACGCGCGAGCTGTCACCAGGGCGCGAGACAACCGAACGCGGCCCCGCCCCCTGCCCGCCTATTGGCCCGCCCGCTGGAGCCCCGCCCCTGGGGCCCTGCATTGCGCCAACGGCGCAGCGCTGGGCCGCGACCCCGGCACCGGCACCCTTTCCGAGGGTTCGCGCCGCAGGCGCAAAGTTTAGGGTCAGCCACAAACGCGCGGCCGCTTTGAGCTTGGCGTAAGGGGCGGCGGCGTAGGGGGGCGTTGTGAATGGCTGGTCGAAGTTTGGTTGAAGCACAGGAGGGTAAATAAGAAGGTTTCCAGACAAAGAGACTCTTAAAGGTACAGACTGTTATGTCTGTCCCTCCTACTTAAAGGGCCAGAGACGCTCCCGAGCCCATCTCCGCCCCCTTCTTCCCGGGGAACTGTAAATGTATTTTACATGAGTTTCCCATACTTTTTTGGGTTCACCTTTAACACCTCTCCCCACTGCGAAGGACAAAGGCTTTCTCACTATTCCGTCCATATGTTTTGTTTTGTTCTGTTAAAAGACGTTATTTCTGTGTTGTTCCTAAAGCAGCAGCCCGCAAACCGTGGGGTTTCCGGAGGCAGCAGCAAAAGTTACTATTGGCTCCCAGGCGGGCGAGCACGTGTCTGGCTTTTGCCACTGATGACCCAAGAGAGATTCAGCTGTTTTATGGAAATTCCCAAGTTAGAGGATCGCTGCCGGAACTGATGAAGTTCAGCAGATTACAGAGCTTGGGAAGTAAACCAGACTGAGTTGGTACTGGTCCTAATGACTTCTTTCTGGAGGGATGGGGATGGACACCGTTGGGAAACAGAACAGCACCTAAGCTACAAAAGGCTTGGTTCCTAAGCAGTCTCCTAGGTGCGCTGTCTTGAAACTACTTGCGGGGTTGTGGGGGAGGATGGGAGTCTCCCAAAATAAGATCAACAATTTCAACATCCAACACATAGCTAAGGCAGATAAAAGCTTACATTTAAATATAAGGACAAGTAAAATAAACACACATTAGCTACAGTGGTGGCTCAAGTTACACACCTGTAAATAGGAGAACTAGGTAAGCACAAAACCCACACACAATAGGAAGGGGGAAACTACAATGCCTGGACCAGGCGCTGTAAAGGCAATTTATTAATAACTTGCACTTTTAAAAGAGGTTTGATAGAAGGAGAGGAAGTGGAGTGTTTCCTGAGGTTCAAGACCTCAGAGTTAGCTTCAGAATTTAGCTCTCTCTCGTCCATCAGTTAACACAATTCTTTTTAAGGAATTCTTACATTATAACTCTAATTATCTTATTCCCTTACTCAGCAATCCCCAAGAAAAATCTTGGAGAAGAAAGATTGTTACTTATTCAATGTTAGTTCCATAACAAGGTGCTTTTGCTGAGTGAAGAATTTGGGAGCCACTTAAAACTTCTAATGGAAGGGATGCTCCCAGAATAGCAATACAGGAGGAAAAGTTTCTCAGTGCTGTAAGCATGTATTAGATCAGTGTTCTCAAAAGTGTGGCCCGGAGGCTGGGTGTGGTGGCTCACGCCTGTAATCCCAGCACTTTGGGAGGCTGAGGCAGGTGGATCACGAGGTCAGGAGATCAAGACCAGCCTGACCAACATGGTGAAACTCGGTCTGACTAGATGTGGTGGTGCATACCTGTAATCCCAGCTACTCAGGAGGCTGAGACAGGATCTCTTGAACCAGGGAGTTGGAGGTTGCAGTGAGCTGAGATCGCGCCAGAGCACTCCAGCCTGGCAACGGAGTGAGGCTCCATCTCAAAATAATAAATAAATTTTTTTTAAAAGTGTGGCCTGGAAAGCCCTAGGGATCTCTGAGACCCTTTGGGCTGGGGGGATAGTGGAGTGCCTGAGGTCAAAATGATTTTCCTAATAATACTAAGACATTATCTGCATTGTCACTGTGATGACATTTGCACAATGATACAAAAGTAGCAATGGGTAAAACTACTGCCTTAGCACAAATCAAGGCAACTGCACCAAGCTGTACTAGAGGTCAAGGTATTCTTCACAGCCACAGTAAAAAAAAAAAAACAAAAAAAAAACACCTGTTTCAGGCCAGGTGGGTGCAGTGGCTCACACCTGTAATCCCAGCACTTTGGGAGGCCGAGGCAGGCGGATCACTTGAGGTCAGGAATTCGAGACCAGCCTGGTCAACATAGTGAAACCCCCGTCTCTACTAAAAATACAGAAATTAGCTGGGCATGGTGGCACGTGCCTGTAATCCCAGTTACTCAGGAGGCTGGGGCAGGAGAATCACTTGAACCTAGGAGGCAGCGGTTTCAGTGAGCTGAGATCGCACCACTGCACTGCAGCCTGGGCAACAGAGTGAGACTCTGTCTCAAATAAAAAAAACAGCCGGACGCGGTGGCTCAAGCCTGTAATCCCAGCACTTTGGGAGGCCGAGACGGGCGGATCACGAGGTCAGGAGATCGAGACCATCCTGGCTAACACGGTGAAACCTCGTCTCTACTAAAAAATACAAAAAACTAGCTGGGCGTGGTGGCGGGCACCTGTAGTCCCAGCTACTTGGGAGGCTGAGGCAGGAGAATGGCGTGAACCCGGGAGGCGGAGCTTGCAGTGAGCTGAGATCCGGCCACTGCACTCCAGCCTGGGCGACAGAGCGAGACTCCGTCTCCAAAAAAAAAAAAAAAAAAAAACCAAACACCAAAAACACCTGTTTCATTTAAGAGGTCTTCGATGAAGACAATAAAAATTACTTTAAGTACACATGTTTATGTGATTAAATGTATGTATGTATGCATCAAGCACTTTTAAGTACATCTGTCTTGAGGAAAAGCACTTTTGTAATTTGAGTTTGGAGCTGAGTTAATAGCTTTCTTCATGGAACACCATTTTTATTTGAAAGAACAGCTAACAGACTGTAGTTGTTCACTGGATATTTGGCAGACATGTTCTTTTCTTTTTTTTTTTTTTTTTTCCGAGACGGAGTTTTACTCTTGTTGCCCAGGCTGGAGTGCAATGGTGCAATCTCGGCTCACCGCAACCTCTGCCTCCCAGGTTCAAGTGATTCTCCTGCCTCAGCCTCCCTAGTAGCTAGGATTACAGGCATCTGCCACCATACCCGGCTAATTTTTGTATTTTTAGTAGAGACGGGATTTCTCCATGTTGGTCAGGCTGGTCTCAAACTCCCAACCTCAGGTGATCCGCTTGCCTCGGCCTCCCAAAGTGCTGGGATTACATGCATGAGCCACCGTGCCCAGCCGACATGTTCTTAAAAATAAAGTTGAGTCTGATAGCATTGTCCGCTATAATAAAACTCAACCGTTTATTTTTATTTTTGGAGACGGAGTCTCACTCTGTTGCCCAGGCTGGAGAGAAGTGGTGTGATGTCAGCTCACTGCAACCTCTGCTTCCCAGGTTCAAGCGATTCTCCTGCCTCAGCCTTCTGAGTAGCTGGGACCACAGGCGCACACCACCAAGCCCAGCTAATTTCTTGTATTTTAGTAGAGACAGGGTTTCACCATGTTGCCCAGGCTGGTCTTGAACTCCTGAGCTCAGGCAATCTGCCCGCCTCAGCTTCCCAAAATGCTGGGATTAGAGGCGTGAGCCCCCACACCCAGCCTAATAAAACTCAAGCATTTAAGTCAAACAGAATTTCTGACAACTGACTTGTATCTCCCAATATAAGCTTGATAGCTTCCCATGACTTTTTCTAATAAATAAGACTGGTAGTGGGTGGGGCACAGTGGCTCACGCCTGTAATCCCAACACTTTGGGAGGTCAAGGTGGGCAAATCATTTGAGGCCAGGAGTTCGAGACCAGTCTGGCCAGCTTGGCAAAACCCCATTTCCACTAAAAATGCAAAAATTAGATGGGCATGGTGGTGCATTCCTGTAATCCCAGCTACTCAGGGGGCTGAGGCACAAGAATTGCTTGAACCAGGGAGGCAAAGGTTGCAGTGAGCCAAGATCATGCCACTGCCCTCCAGCCTGGGCAACAGAGCAAGACTCTGTCTCAAAAAACTGAAATAAGGCCAGGCACGGTGGCTCACGCCTGTAATCCTGGCACTTTGGGAGGCCGAGGTGAGGGAATTGCCTGAGCTCAGGAGTTCTAGACCAGCCTGGGAAACAAGGTGAAACCCCATCTCTACTAAAAATACAGAAAGGTAGCTGGGCATGGCAGCGTGTGCCTGTAGTCCCAGCTACTCCGGAGGCTGAGGCAGGAGAATTACTTGAACCTGGGAGGCGGAGGTTGGAGTGAGCCGAGATCGCACAACTGCACCCCAGCCAGGGCAAAAGAGGGGGAAAAAAACTCAAAAAAAAAAAAAAAAAAAAACTAAAATAAAACATTAAAATTAAACAACAAGGACTGGTAGTGATATTAATAAATATGATTTTTTGATATTGTATAATGTGTCAACATTTAGGAGATGTGCAGTGTTTTCCAAATGACCAATGCATGACACTACAAAATCACACATTCGTAAAAGATCCATTCAAAGTGCAAAATAAAGCCAGGCGCAGTGGCTCACGCCTGTAATCTCAGCACTTTGAGAGGCTGAGGCAGGTGGATCACTTGAGCCCAGGAGTTCGAGACTAGCCTGGGCAATATAGCGAGACTCCATCTCTAAAAAGAAAAAAAAAGTGCAAAATAAACCAATAAACATTAATAGAATATAAAAAGTTCACTAATATACTTTGAGGTTCCACACTGCAACTAGCCTTTAGCAGAGTTTTGACAGCATCAAAGAATATCCACAATTATCTGAAAAAGTTATGAATATACTTCTCCCTTTTTCCAAATATGCATCTGTGGGAGGTTGAATTTTCTTCATATTCTTCAACCAAAACAACATTGAAACAGATTGAATGCAAAAGCAGATATGAGTATTTCAGTCTTCTATTATGCCAGACATTCAAGAGATTTATGAAAATTAAAAACAATGCTACTCTTCTCAAGAAATTTTATTTGGAAAAATAATTACTTTTCCTTAAAAATATTTTATCAGCTAGGCATAGTGGCTCACGCCTGTAATCCCAACACTTTGGGAAGCCAAGGTGGAAAGATCACTTGAGCTTAGGAAGTTTGAGACCAAGCCTGGACAACATAGTCATCTCTACTAAAAATAAATTAGCCAGATATGGTGGCGGGCACAGGTAGTTCCAGCTACTCAGGAGGATGAGGTGGGAGGATTGCTTGAGCTTGGGAGATGGAGGCTGTAGTGAGCTATGATCATGCCACTGCATTCCAGCCTGGGCAACAGAGCAAGACCCCATCTCAATAAATAAATAATTAATTAAATACATAAATAAATATTTTGCTCGCACCTGTAATCCCTGCACTTTGGGAGGCTATGGTGGGTGGATCACCTGAGGTCAGGAGTTTGAGACCAGCCTGGCCAACAAGGCGAAACCCCATCTCTACTAAAAATACAAAAATTAGCCAGGCATGGTGGTAGGCGCCTGTAATCCAAGCTACTCGGGAGGCTGAGGCACGAGAATTGCTTGAACCTGGGAGCCGGAGGTTGCAGTGAGCTGAGATCATACCACTACACTCCAGCCTAGGCCATAGAGTGAGACTGTCTCAAAAAAAAATTATTTATGTTAACGTGATGGGCTTATTGTTACCCTTAAGCAAATTAATAAATATTTAGGCCAGGCATGGTGGCTCACACCTATAATCCCAACACTTTGGGAGGCCGAGGATCACTTGAGCCCAGGAGTTCGAGACCAGCCTGGGAAACATAGTGCGACTCTGTCTTAAAAAATAAAAAAATTAGAAAAAATAAGAAAATTAAGACCTGAGAGCAGAGATGGCATCTTCTTGCCTACAAAACACTCTTCATATGTATTCTCCTTTGAGCCTCTCAACAACTCTATGAAATATGGAAAGCAGGCATCATTATTCACACTGTACAGATGAGACTCAGAGACAACAGCTTGATTGAAGTTACATGTCAAGTTAGGGCCAGTGCTATGGCAAGCACTCAACCATCTGTCTCTTAAAGACGCATTCTCTTCCCTCGAGCAGGCCACCCCAGAACACCCTTCGCGTTCACAGCCTTGCCTTTCCTACTTAAGACTTCACATTCACAGCCTTGCCTTTCCTACATGACAAAAGGCTTCTACTCTTGAATTCTGGCTTCAGGACAATCTAGGCTATATAAATGTGGTCCCTAAAATCTCTTTTTAAAAGTCTCCAAAGAAAATTCAGTCAAATTCATATTAATCTTAAAAATTAGTCTGTGCTATCTGATGGGGCAGTGGTATGTTGGGAAATGAAACAGAGAATGCAAGAGAATTAGGAAACTTTGCCCTAATCATTTCAATAATTTTTCAACTTGCTAATTTCATCACAGAGGCAAGGAACTATTTCTCTGCCTCATTAATCACGTTTTTCTAAGAAATGAAAAAGTATATGCATTATGCCAAATTCCATTACAACAGAATACTTGTCAGACCCCATGGAGTGTCATAACAGAAGAGTAACTCTGAAGCCACAGAAGTAGCTATCAAGATTGCTTCTTATGTATTTACTCCTGCCTATTTTCAAAAGAAAAAGGGGAAACATAGGAAGATAGCACAAACTCAGTCCATCTTCCCA